TGGGTGGGTGGATGGATGGATGAATGGATGGGTGTGGATGGATGGGAGGGTTTCAGGCAAAGGAAGTCTTTGGATAGGACATGCACCCAGGACTCACTATGTAGTGATGATCTGACCTGGTGAGAAGGGGGGAGTCTGTCAAATAGATTCTACCACTACTTTTCTGCTGTGGTGTATCTCAACACTAACACGTAATACTGACTTTTTTTTATCATTTGTCTGGTTTGAAATCAAATGCCTTTTTGTTTGTTTGACTGTTTAAGGCTGAAAGAGCATATTCCTTTTGTGGGACTATTGAATACATGGCACCGGATATTGTCAGAGGTGGAGATTCAGGACATGACAAGGTATGTTCTACACTCCCTTATGTCTCTCCATGAAATGTATAATAAGAACCCTAGTTAATAACTCGGGTCCAGTCTCTTCATCAGAGCCCTGTTTCTGGCATTGTCTTACCTTCATTGTTTTCTCCCCTTTGCTTTGGATACATGAACAAATTATGATATCTAGAGTTTTAGAGGAAAAAGATAGACTTTGTTGATTATCTCTTGAACAGAAATAAGCTTTGTAACAGTTCTTGGAGAAAGAAAAAAAATCCTGCATTCAAGATAGTCCAAGTTTGTTTTCCTTACACCCTCTAAAAACCTCACTTCCCTTTGTTTGTGCAAAGTGAAGATTGTAGAGGAAGCATCTTAAGCAGTTTTGTTATAAAATCTAGGTCACATATTTTTTCTCCCTGTATTAAAGGGTAAGATTTCTTTGGTGCCATCTTAATGCTTTTGCTGTATTAGTAATTTTCTCCAAATAAGGAATTTTGACTATTTTTTATTCCTCATCTTCCCTTCTCCCTCATCCCTTTTCAAAATCCCACGTATTCAGTCCAAGTATCTTAAGTGTGGAGAAACTTTGGTCTCCTTACTAATACTAATCATATACTTAAAGCCTGTTCTTCAAGTTGGTGTGGTATTGGTTTCAGGCCATATGATTAGGAGTCTGATTGTTGATCTGTATCATCTCAACAGCTGGTTTTAAATCCAATAGCAAAACATTCTGAGGGTCCTGACTCCGGTGGCAGTAAAACGGCTTGTATAAATAAAATAATTGAATTGCTGGTTTCATTTACTGCATGGTATTCTTTGAAACTGTTGTCCCCAACAGTTTAATAGGAATTTATAACTGTTAAAATTTGAAAATTACCTTCTAAGACCTAATGTAACTGATTTTTAAGGATGAAAACCTTATAGAACCTACTAGAATTCCTGTATACCTGAGTCTGGAATATAGCTAGTCAATAAATACTCTTTCCTGTTTGTGGAACACCTTGATGACTTTGAGGTAATTAAATGTGACAATATATGCAAAATGCTTATTAGTGTACCTGGCTCCACACTGTTCCTTTTATGATTGCAGTTGGCCAGATCATGTTTTATATGTCATCGTTATGTATTTTCTTTAAAATAGCTCTAGGTTCATAAATTTTGCATCATCTCTCTGAAATCTTTGCCCTGAAATTTGGAAGCAGGGTTAAAAATTTTAGCACCCAGTTAATATCTCTTGGTGTAAGCTTGTGTATTCAACAAATATTGAAATCTTGATTTGCCTAATTATAAAAGAACTAATGTCAGTGTTCTTTAAACTCGCCTCTCAGTTCAGGTAACTGCATTTATAAGTTGGTTTCCAATTTAGGTCTCATCTTATTTTATATTATTTAAGTATCTTCATGTTTCCCACAATTGAAGACTCACATTAATGAAGATGTATGTGATTGGTCCTATAAGAAGAATTGAAAATTTAGGTTGTTATGAAATATGATACCATTAGATGGGATTTTTTTATTTTTGTTCTTTGAGTTCGAGGAATTTCATAATATTTATTGGCGCTAAATAGTTAATAAAAATACTGAACGTTCCTTTTCTTTTTCCCCCATCATAAGTCTAAAGATTTTACTTAAAATTTTTAATATTTGGGGTGCCTGGGTGGCTCAGTCGGTTAAGCAACCGCCTTTGGCTCAGGTCATGATCCCAGAGTCCCAGGATCGAGTCCCACATCGGGCTCCCCACTCAGTGGGGAGTCTGCTTCTCCCTCTGACCCTTCCCCATCTTGTGCTCTCTCTGTCTCTTTCTCTGTCTCTCACTCTCAAATAAATAAAATCTTTAAAAAATTATAATAAAATAAAATTTAAAAAAAAATTTTTAAATTAACCAAAATAAAACCATTACTTAATGATTTAGGAAATAATGAAAACACTTTTAGCCCCTTGATTGACTTCACTGTGTTTAAATTCTATTCTGAGAATACCCGGACATTTGTTCTCTAAATGTCTTTCTTGCAAGTGCTTCATTTAATATTTCTTACACAGAAAGCTATATACAAAATCTTTTTGTTAAAATATTTTTCAAATATATAGTTTTATTCTGTTCATTTTCCTTTCTTATAAAATATATATTCATATTCTATAAAATGATATTATTATTTTATAGGCAGTTGACTGGTGGAGTTTAGGTGTTCTAATGTATGAATTACTAACTGGAGCATCTCCTTTCACTGTTGATGGGGAGAAGAATTCCCAAGCTGAGATATCTAGGTAAGACTTAACAAAATAAAATAAATGTATTGTTTTCTCAAAGAAACTTATCAAATTTCTGAAATTAAGTCTGATAGAAAAGATAATCTTTTAAATGAGGGTAGACAAAATAATGTTCAAGTGGTAAACTTCCATTTATATTCATATAGAATATAGATATATAACATTTATATTTCTTTATATTTTATGTGCCCACTTAGATCTTAAGTCTCAAAAAGATAGTGTCAAATTTTTTATGCGATCCAAAGCACTTCATATATTATCTTAACCTAGCACATCATATATTGAGAAGTGTATTTGTTCGACATTTTTTCCCTACTGTATACCGAATGTAATTTCTTTGCAAATAAAGAAAAAGTAGTGATGTTTTCCACTCACGGATATATAGGCTCAATAGAAACAAATACCATAAAATCACCCTCCTGTAGGTTACCAGAGTAGCTTATTCTATTCTTTTCTTCATAGCTGCTGTCACAATTGCAGTGTTTCGTATGTGTTCATAGTTACATGATTCACGTCTGTCTGTCCCACTAGATTGTAAGCTCTGTGAGAGCAAGGCGCATGTCTGGCTTTGACCTTCAGGATTGTATGCTCATGTGCCGGCACAGTGCTTCCTGTGCAGAATTCAGTAAATATTTTTGGAATGAAATGGATTAATGAACAAATAAATGAACAGTGATAAAACATTATACTGATTACTAGTTATGTTTTTGTCCTGTTTTTACTTGAATTTTGTAACTTTGAGAACAGATTTGACATTAAAAATTAAAAATTGAGACTTCCACCAAGATGGAATAACAGGGACCCGATTTACTTTCCTGCCTGGAACAGTTTTTAAAATGGGCAAAATCTATGAAACAGCACTATCGAAGACACTGAACATCTAGCAGTGAAGGACAGTGAACACAGAGAGATGGAAAATAAATGAGGTGAGCCCTCTGATTGCCCAGCTTACTGCCTTGAGAGAGTATCCAGGCTGCAGCACAGGGAGGGGAGGCCCAGGCAGAGTGGAGGAGATGGAACTGGGTCCAGGAGGACCAGGCAGCTAGAGTTTGCAGGGCAGAGTCAGAGAGATGTCCAGAGACTTGCAGAAGGTACCCCTTGGGTATTCAGTGAAGTACTGATAAGCACTCGTGTGTGAGGGAGCTACTCAGTATAGTTCAGATGTGATTTCTCCCTAAACTGATCTATAGATTCATCACAATCACAGTCCCAGCAGGCTGTTTTGGGGGGTTTTTTGTTTTGTTTTCTTTTGTTTTTCTGTAGAAGTTGACAACCTAAAATTCATAGAGGCATGTAGAGGACATAGAATAGCCAAATCACCTTTGAAAAAGTAGACCAAAGTTGATTTCCGGCCTTATAAGCCACACTGATTAGAACACTGTGGTGTTCATACTGAGATATACAAATCATCAATGAACTAGATTAGCAAGTCTGGAAACAAAACCACACAGATATAGACCATTGTTTCTGTTTTTTGTTTTGTTTCGTTTTGCTTACAACGGTGCAAAGTCAGTTTGGTGGAGAAAAGATAGTCTTTTCAACAAATGGCTAGAACCATTGGCTATCATATGGGGGGAAAATGAACTTCAATAAATACTTTGCACTGTATAGAAAAATTAAAAATAGATCATAGACCTAAATGTAAAATCTAAAACTACAACATTTCTGGAAGAAAACATAAAGGAAAATCTTTGTGACCTTGGGTTAGACAAAGATTTCCTAGATAGGACACAAAAAGTGCAATCCATAAAAGAAAACACTGATAAATTGGACTTCATCAAAATTAAATACGTGTGCTCTTTGAAGGAAACCAAGAGACTGGAAAGACAAGCCACGGAGTGGGAGAAAATGACACATCCTTCTTCTGATAGATGACTGGTATCCAGAATACATAAGGGACTCTCAAAACTCAAGGCGAATAAAAGCCCTCCATTTTGAAAAATGGGCAAAAGATTTTAACAGTTCACCAGAGAAGATCTATGAGCGGCAAATAAGCAGGCGAAAAGATGACCAATATCATTAGTCTTTAGGGAAACGCAGACTAAACCATGGGGAGATGCTACTGTGTGCTCACTGGAGTGGCTACCAATGAAGAGTCAGATTATAGTTATAGCAGGGTTCTCTGGAGGAACAAAACCATTAATATATATATATATATATATATATATATATATATATTTAGGGGATGTATTATAAGGAATCAGCTCACATGATTATGGAGGCTGAGAAGTCCCAGAATCTGCCGTCTGCAAGCTGGAGACCCAGTCCTGAGAATAAGAGGAGCCCTGTGGGTGTAAATCCCAGTGCAGTGGCAGAAGACCAGCATCCTGTGTTAAGCAGGCAGGCAGCAAGGGCCTGAATCCTCTCTTCCTCTGCTTTTTTTTTCCTCAGGCCCTCAAGGGATTGGTTGCTGTCCACCCACACTGGGGAGAGGATTCTACTTTACTGAGCCCACCAATTCAGATGCTAATTTCATTGAGAATACCCTCACAGATATACCCATGGCAATGTCAAATTTGGGCAACCCATAGCCCAGTCAAGTAACACTTTGGATTAACCATCACAGGTCCACCCCTGTTGGTTTGGCAGCCATGCATATCTCCTTAAGCTGAACTTAATCTCGAAATAAAGACAATAACGAGGTCATAATTCCACCAAACCTGATACAGCTATCCTACATACAATGGAAAACCCACTAACCCCTTACATAAAATCCTTAAATGATGTTCGCTTTTCTTGAAATCCCATAACTTAGATACTGTGATAAAAATTAACAGTACTTAAATGTCATGATATAAAGTCAGTGCATCTTGTCTTACATGATAAAGGAAGAAGAGGAAAGACAACAAAGACATATTGTAACATATGTATTAAAATGATTTATGCACACGTATTCCCACACAGATACACGCATAACAAGAGGAGGAAATACAGCAATTTTTGTAACTGGTTATGGGGTCATAGGTGGTATTTATGACTACCTTCTTCCACTACCAACTCTGTATTCCCCTCGTCTTCAGCAAGTACCTTGTGGAATGACCCAGACAGTCATTCCTGAAGAATCTGGGCCTTTAGTACTTCTGCCTAGATTGGGTTTTTAGAGTTTTCAATTGACCTTAATCACAGGGCATGGTAATACTAATAGATACCCTAAGGGATCTCCTGTATTTCAGCCACTCTTCCTTACTTTCATTGTGGAGTAGTAGTCCAATTTCCCCTTAGTAGTGAGGATTGATCACACCAGCCAGCATGAGAACTCCCTTTGCTGTTGATTTAGAGGCACAAGGAGCCCAAAGTAGTTGGGTGGCTGTCTTAATTTCCAACTCAATGGAATCATTCATTGTGTGTCTCTTGGTGGAAGCATTCCTTTTCCTAGAACTAAGACCTCTAGGCTAGCAAAGCATAAAGTCAGGGGAACAGGAAGCAAACATTTTGCTAGTGAGTCACTTGGGAGTACTAGTGAGTGGTGCCATTCCCAGTTCCACCCCATGATTTCTGGGTCCATGAATCCTGGTAGGGGAGAAACTGCACCATATATTGGATGTGGATTCAGAGCATTTACAGCCTTCTGGAGAACCTTGCTAGAGCCCTGAAACATATTGTCACCTAGATCACACTGTATCTGTGTCTTCAAAAGGCCATTCCACTGTCCTATCACACCAGCTCCTTCAAAATGGTAGAGAACTTGGTAAGCCCAGTGAATTCCATGAGTGTGAGCCCACTGTACACTTCTTTTGCTATGAAGTGAGTTCCTTGATTAGAAGCCATGCTTTGTAGAATACCATGACAGTGCTTAAAGCATTTTGGAAGTCCACAGATGGTTGTTTTGGCAGAAGCACTGCATGCAGGGAAAAGTAAATCTGTATCTAGAATAAGCATCTGTTCCAGGTAGGATGAAACATTGCCCCTTCCGTAATGGAAGCAGTCCCAGGTAATCAACCTACCACCATGTAACCGGCTGACCACCCTGGGGATTGGTGCCATATTGGGCACTCAGTGTTGGTCTCTGCTGCGGGCAGATTGGGCGCTCAGCAGGAGTCATAGCCAGGTCAGCCTTGGTGAGGAGAAGTCCATGCTGCTGGGCCCGCACATAACCTCCTTCCTTACCACCACAGCCACTATGTTCATGGCCCACTGTGCGGTGATAGTGTTGACTGGAGAAAGAGACTGACTGGTATCTACGGAAGAGATCATCCTATTCACTTGATTATTAAAATCCTCCTTGCTGATGTCACCCTTTGGTGAGCATTCACATGGGACACAAATATCTCCACATTTTTTTCCCCATTCAGAGAGGTTTACCATGTACCTCTTACTCATATATCTTTGTCAACCAGACTTCCTTGTCACCAATATTCTTTTTTTTCCCTTTCTTTCCTTTTTTTTTTTAAATTAACGTAATGTATTATTTGTTTCAGGGGTACAGGTCTGTGATTCATCAGTCTTACACAATCCACAGCACTCACCATAGCACATACCCTCCCCAGTGTCCATCACCCAGCCACCCCATCCCTCCCACCCCCCTCCACTCCAGCAACCCTCAGTTTGTTTCCTGAGATTAAGAGTCTCTTACGGTTTGTCTCCCTCTCTGGTTTCGTCTTGTTTCATTTTTCCCTCCCTTCCCCTATGAGCCTCTGTCTTGTTTCTCAAATTCCTCGTATCAGTGAGATCATATACTTGGCTTTCTCTGGTTGACTTATTTCGCTTAGCATAATACCCTCTGGTTCCATCCACATCGTTGCAAATGGCAAGATTTCATTTTTTTTGATGTCTGCATAATATTCCATTGTATATATACCCCACATCTTCTTTATCCATTCATCTGTTGTTGGACATCTAGGCTCTTTCCATAGTTTGGCTATTGTGGACATTGCTGCTAGAAACATTGCAGTGCAGGTGCCCCTTCAGATCACTACATTTGTATCTTTGGGGTAAATACCCAGTAGTGCAATTCCTGGGTCATAGGGTAGCTCTATTTTCAACTTTTTGAGGAAGCT